TAAAACCCAAACCTTACTATGTGACATGCTCCTTCGTGATGCTCCTTCTAGTATTGTCACCCAATCTCCTAGTATAATGGATCTTGTGAAGTGTGACGGTGCTGCACTGCTTTTTGGTGGAAGCTGTTGGTTATTAGGCACAACCCCAACTGAGTCACAGGTAAAAGACATTGCAGAATGGCTACTTAGTAGTCATGGGGACTCAACTGGTTTGAGCACAGATAGTTTGGCTGATGCTGGTTACCCGGATGCTGCTTCACTGGGGGATGCAGTTTGTGGCATGGCAACAGCGAGGATCAATTCAAGGGATTTTTTGTTCTGGTTCAGGTCGCATGCTGCTAAGGAAATCAAATGGGGAGGAGCCAAGCACCACCCAGAGGATAAAGATGATGGAGGAAAGATGAACCCTAGACTTTCATTTAAAGCATTTCTTGAAGTATTAAAAAGCAAAAGTGTGCCATGGGAAGCGTCAGAAATCAATGCTATTCACTCTTTACAGCTTATAATGAGAGATTCATTCCAAGATGCAGAGAACTGTGGTCCTAAGGCTCTAACTCATGTGAAGCAAGAGGACACTGATATGGGCGGGAATGGGATAGAAGAACTCAGTTCAGCGGCATTTGAAATGGTCAGATTGATTGAAACAGCAACAGTTCCAATTTTTGGTGTTGATTCAGCTGGTATAACCAATGGGTGGAATGCAAAAATTGCCGAACTAACAGGTCTGCAAACCAGCGAAGCTATGGGAAAATCTCTTGTAAATGAAGTTGTGGTTGAGGACTCACGGGAAACCGTTGATAATATTCTAAAAAGAGCCCTGGAAGGTAAATCTTTTCTTCTAAAACTGTTAAATCTTAAAAACCTCAAGTTTTCACATTAGTATCAAAGCCGAATGCCATGGGATATCTGATTAATTGCCTTGCATCACCACTGGGGTCATCTTTAGAATCTAATTCGTTTATGGTCATATGAAGTAATCAATTCATGAAACTTAGTTAAAACCATAAGGAGCCTGACCACCTCACTTGGTTTCCAAAAGCTATTGAATTAATTTAGTATGAATAGATGCATATCTTGTGACAAGATACAGGTGGCCCACTCTTCCTTGACCAGTTGACTTGTTCTTTCTGTTCTTCACGGCATTTATTCTCATCATTAGCCCTCATTTAGCAGCATTTCTGCTGGCTATGCAAGTGCAAAATCATGATACTTTTGCCGAGACTTTCCAGCTCATTATCCCATGAGTGAATGCTTGCACTTCGGGGACTCTGGGAAAATAGGAACTTTTCAGATATTTTCCACTGACTGCTGTGAATGAATGTTGGAACAAGTCACTAGTGTTAACTATGATTTGCATGTTTATTTTACTTTCTATTTTTTCAGAACTATCTTTCTACCTTTATTGAAGAAAAATATAGCTGATTCCTACGCAAGTTTCGTTTGTACAATGCTATGGTTAATAATTCAGTCATGTATTCTCCAGGTCAGGAGGACAAAAATGTTGAGTTGAAGTTGAAACACTTTGGTCCGCATCAGCAAAAATCAGTTGTGTATATTAAGGCAAATGCTTGCACAAGTAGGGATTACAAAAATGCTGTTGTTGGGGTCTGCTTTGTGGGTCAAGACATCACTCATGAGAAATCTGTTCTGGACAAATTTATCAAGTTGGAAGGTGATTACAAAGCAATCATACAGAGTCCCAATCCACTAATCCCACCCATATTTGCTTCAGATGAGAATGCCTGTTGCACTGAATGGAATGCAGCCATGGAAAGGCTAACTGGTTGGAAAAGAGATGAAGTTATTGGGAAAATGCTTCCCGGGGAGATCTTTGGAGGTTTGTGTCGATTAAGAAGTCAAGATTCACTTACTAGTTTCATGATTTTATTATATCAAGGAATCAGTGGCCAAGATTCTGAGAAGTTGCCAATAAGATTTTTCAACAGAAAGGAGGAACTTGTGGAGGTTTGCTTGACAGCGAACAAGAGGATTGATGCAGGTGGTAAAATAATTGGCTGTTTCTGTTTCTTGCAGATTGTACCGCCAGACCCGCACCAGCCCTCAGAAGAACAAAAGCCACAATGCAGAGGAAGGCCTTCTGAGTTTAGGGAATTGGGCTATATATTACAAGAGATAAAGAATCCTTTAAATGGTTTGCGTTTTGCACAAAAATTACTGCAAAATACAGCTGTCTCAGAAAATCAGAAACAATTTCTTGATACTAGTGATGCTTGTGAGAGACAAATTATGACAATTATTGAGGATGCGGATTTTGGAAGTATTGATGAAGGGTGAGTGTCTCTTGTTGCTCTCTACCCTACATGTCTCTTGTTGCTCTCTACCCTACATGGACTCTCTGTATAAGATTGTGCTTTCCTTTCATCACTACTTATCACTGATGTTTAAGGCATCATTATCTACTTAGCACTGCAATATTTTTATTTATGTAAATACTTGTATAAAAGACAAACAGTATTCCAAAGTTTCTCACATGTAATGCTAATATTGCAGAACTTTGCAGCTAAAAATAGAAGAGTTTTTTCTGGGAAATATCCTAGATGCCATTGTCAGCCAAGTCATGATCTTGATAAGAGAAAGAAACTTGCAGCTCTTTCATGAAATTCCTGATGAAATTAAAACGCTTACTCTATTTGGTGACCAAATAAGGCTTCAAGCGGTCTTGTCTAACTTTTTGATCAATTTGGTTTGCCACACACCATCTCCCAATGGCTGGGTAGAAATAAAGATTTCACCTGGGCTGAAGATAATACAGGATGGAAGTGAGTTTATTCATCTGCAGTTCAGGTACACAAACTGACCCTCGTTTTGATATGATGATCAGCACAGGTGGTTAATTGGTTGCTAATGCTTCTCCGCTTAAGAGATTTGCTATCATATTATATAACAAAAGTTCTGAGTTCAAGATATATCGAGTCTATATGGTTTGATACTTTCTGTTTTCATTTTCATTGAAAATGTAAGTGAAAATGCTTTTGGTGAGGTTGAAGGGAAAATATCCCGTGGAAACATTTTTCTAAGATAGGCTGAAAAAATCAAATGTCTAAAAGATGTTTCTTAGCAGTTTCACAAAATCACCGGGGAAAATTTTGTAATTTCACAGGAGAATCTAAAATAAATATTCAAGAAAATAAATGATTTGACAATTTCGTGTTATCAAACTCTATATCAAATAACATCTGTGCCCCCATTTATATACTTTTGACTTGGAAACAAATGAACAAACATTTAATTTTACAAAGAAGAAATATTTTTGAAATAATAAAAATTTCCGAATGATACTGGGTTGTAAAAGTGGGGGAAATTTCTTTGTTCGATGCAAGTGCAGATACTCTACAAATCTTTAAAAATGTGTAGAATATGCACTTCTCATCTACATTGTCTAGATCTAATTGAGACAGTTCAAAGTTGGTGTCAATAATCTAAATCTTATCATTATTATTAATTTTTTGATTAAAGCCATCATTTTTCTAAAGTGACAGTTAAGAAACATATATATTTGTGTTTACAGAGAATAAGGTCTCATTTTGTTATCCTGTCCATGCAGAATGACCCATGCCGGTCAAGGTCTTCCTTCTGAAATTCTTCAGGAAATGTTTGAAGGTGGGAATAAATGGACTACACAGGAAGGTCTAGGGCTATACATGTCAAGAAAAATCCTCATTAGGATGAATGGCCATGTCCACTATGTAAGAGAACAGAACAAGTGTTACTTCCTCATTGATATTCAGCTTAGAACAAGAAAAGAAAGCCAGAGGATTTCTCAGGCGGCAGAGACAAGCATGTCATCTTAGATTACAGTCATCAGCAAATAAGTCTCTAACCCAGCTTGGGGAACTGGCAGATTTCTGATAAGCGCCGACTTTTAATTCTGGGTTCAACTATGAAGCATCAGTATCTAAACAATAAAGTTGTATAGTGTTCAATATGCATTCGACTCTTGTCTGAGCCATGGGGCAACACTTTAGATTATACTTGGAGAAAGTGTCATATCCTAATTTGAAATCTGTAAATATCAAAGTTTTTTTCTGTGATCAGTTCGTGTTAGAGATCATGGAGAATTTGCCCCTGCTTGGGGGCGATGTTTTCCAGTTAGACCTTCTACATTCATGCATTCATGTTTTCCATGAGAAAGTGATACAAAAGCATACATAAACGTGTATATGGCTGATGCTGTAGCATTTACAGAATAATAGAGGAGTTGCTAACCTACCACTACCCAACCTAGGCTACAAAGATTTCTTATAATTGTTGTCATGTTATTCTTTGTATGAGTAGTTTTATCTGCTGCCTATATTTGCTCACTTCAACTATCTGCATAAATGACAACATATATTTCCATGAAATAATTTAACTTCTGAATGAACTTAAGGCTTTTTTTTTAATTTTTTTTCCTTTTCCTTTGGCATCAGGAGGCTTTGCTTGCTTTTTATCTTTTTTTTTTAATCACCTACTAACAAGATCCTCATATCGGCAACAGGATCCAAACTCACGACTTTGTAGATTATAAGCTGACTCTTTACTAACTAAACCAATTTTTGTTGGTTGCTTTTTATCATATTAATACAGAAAGTAACTCCAAATTTTGAAGTTGGGCTTCCGAGGATGTGTGGCTTTTTACACCATTGAATGATTAGTACGTTGAGAGCTTACCCAGGGCAGAGAGATCAGATGATTGTTGAATGGCCAAACAACCATTGACAAAGGAGAAAGAAAATCGATAGTCAGACTTGTGAAATCCAGTTTTTCAACTCAATTTTTCTTGACTTCATGACTTAACGTTGAGGAACAACATAATTCATGATCATTATTCATTATTTTGGAAGAAAAGTTGAGGGGTAAGTGAAAAATGAAAAATTAGGTACCAAAAAAAAAAAAAAGATTAGACGAGAATCTACAGAAGTTAAGTGAAAAAAGAAAAGTTAAAGAGATAAATGAAGTGTTTAAGACTTTCGACATGTAAGGATATTTTTGCAACTTGATTTTAGTAAGTTGTTGAATGTAACTAACGTACTTCATTTATTAAACTGAGGGATACATGACATGGGTTTCAGAGGCTTACAAAAATTCTAAATGAAAAACTATTATCCAATAATTTTTACGCTAATACTGCAGAAAATTGCCTTCAACAGCCTGGTGATTGATCCTACAACTTCTGTTGCTTAATGATCAACTAAAGGGTACTGAACGATGAAAAATAGCATAAATTTTGACAGCATAACTTCAAATAACAAAGGAAGATTCTTAACTAGACCTAACATACCAAAAGACACATAGACCAATTAAACAAAAAGAGAAATACGCATGTCAGACAAAACTTTTCAGTCTGAACCAATGTTGACGTGCATACATATCTCTCTATTCATAACTGATTTAATCTATTCATCTTCGATAGATTGAGCCTGACTGAGAATTCTTCCATAACAAATATGCACTGTTGATGTGATTCTCTGCTTCCCATAAAGAAAAATGAGTGGATAAGCGAGCGGCAGAGCCCCGAAGAAAAATTGAATCTTTTTTCCAATCTAGTAGTGCTTTGGCACCAGAAGGAAGACCCAGATGGTACATGTGATGGACAACAAAAGCAAGGAAGAAGAAAGAGATGTGGCTGAGTTAGGGCTTTCTGTTGGCTCCAAACCAAAGTCTGTTGATCCACCACCAGCCATTGTTGTAGTTGGAGTAGTTGGAGTCATAATAGGACTTGGTGGACTTGGTGGAGTTACATAGGTTGGTGGACTAATGCTGCAATCAGAGAGGGAAAGAAAGGATTATAAGGTATAGTGTTAATCACATTTTTCAAATTCTGTTCCTTGCCAGATGAAGTTCTATTGATTCTCACCTTTGTGTTTTGGGAGTTGCATAGCGGCAGTTCCCATTACCTGCAACAGTGTAAGGTAATAATTAAAATGTTATGGTCTTGTTACTAGGATTCTATTCACAGTCTTTCTTTTTCCTCTTACAACTATCTGGCATTCAGTATCATTGACTAATTTAGATTTGTTTTGTTGGGTCCAAATAGAAAGTAGCTCTCTAATGTATTTTTCTTCAATTCACGAGGTTCAAATTCTTGAACTTGATTAAGGGATACCAAGTCTCTTCTACTCAATCCAACCACTTTTAGTAGGATTCTATTCACATTCTAATCCTACTTCATAGATTCTCTAAAGGTAAGACTACTTGAAAATAGTTTAGCCTTCAAATATAAACTATCCAAATATACACTAAGTACTTAAATATAATTTTCCCCCGAAAATGACAACATAGAAAGATCTATGAGTGGTGGCATGCTTACTTGGGTCAGTGCTAGTGAGTGTTGCAGTTCCTCCAAACGCACAACTTGTAGGAGCAGGATTCTTCTGGTAGTAATCATTGAAAGCATAAGAAGCATGGTCCCTGACAGTGTTAGGGTTATAACAGCTTGCTCCTGGTTGGATTGCTGAACAATCTGCTCCTCCATAGCCACAAGCATAATCAAGAGCCACCTGCAGAGCTGTGTCTGAAGCTCCCTGGCTTGCAACACACCATTGACCCCCTCCTGATGATGTTGCAGGAGGATTAGGGTTAGGGTTTGTGTTTGTGTTTGGGACTGTTGGAGGGGTCTGCCCAGTTGTGTCTGGTGTTTGAGGAATTGTTGGAGTTTGCCCTGTTGTGTCTGGTGTTTGAGGAATTGTTGGGGTTTGCCCTGTTGTGTCTGGTGTTTGAGGAATTGTTGGGGTTTGCCCTGTTGTGTCTGGTGTTTGAGGAATTGTTGGGGTTTGCCCTGTTGTGTCTGGTGTTTGAGGATTTGTTGGGTTCACTGTGGGGTATGGATTATCTGTCCCTGGGGTTGTAGGGTTCACTACTGGAACATCATCTAATTGAGTAAAGTCAGATCTTGAGAAAATTTCTTGGTTTTCTTCATCTGTTAATAATTTTGCTGTCACTACTACACCTGCAAACAGAAACCAAAGATTTCAAAGACTTGCTTTTTTAAGTCTAAAGAGGTTACTGTCTAAAAAAGATTGAATCTGGATTTGAGTTCTATCTTAACCTGAAACCCAATGGGATTAGTATACTACTAGATTAGACTTGATGGATTAAGTTTTGCTCAAAAGATCACAACTATATAGAGCTATTCATGGCTTAAGGTATAGATATTTTTCTGTTAATTTGAGGCTTAAATGTAGCATGAATAATTGATTTGGTGATGAAGTAAGAAGCACTAGTCTTTTTCCCTCCCTCGCATAAGTAAATATAAGTGTTCACAACTGAATCAAATAAGCAATTATTTAAATAGAATAAAATTTTAAATTTAAGGTAAAATTGAATTTTCATGTGTCAAATCCAATTTAGTTGACTCAATTAACACCAAATTGAATCGAATGAGCAAGGAGATGATGTTTTGGGTGATGAATGTATTCATCAGACTTTTCTTTTTTGGAAAAAAAAAAGTATGTTCTTGAAATGGATTTATATTATTTTAAGAAATAAATCACTTAATAATATGTAAATCATACATAAAATGATCAAAACCTGAAAAAAGTTCAATCAGTTCAGATTGATCCTATAAACACCTTTAAATATAAGATATTACTGCCAGCACTCTCAATTAATATTTCTGAAGTAACAACATTTTCAATAAACAACAATTTATTTACTCACAAAACAATTTCATTATTTTTTTAAAACAAAAAAGTAAATATAATTTGTTGCTCTTCTTTAATTAATGACCAAAATTTGCTTCACTAGTCAAGCAATGAATCAATGCTTGAAACTACAGACGTAAAATCAAACAAAATGCTACCACAGAGACCAGAAATTCAGAATCAAAAACCAACAAAAAAAATACCTGAACTGAAGAAGAAGAAGAAGGGAACAGTCAGGTAGAAGAAGGCAAAAAACCAGCGAGGGCGAGCTGTTTCACTCATTATTTCTGCAGAATATGGATTTGGGTTCTTTGTTGTTGCTTGAAGAAACAATGTTAGAGAAGCCAAGATTTATTACAACTCAAGGGAAGCATCAATGGAGTTCCTATTCTGAAGAATTTCACCTTTTTTGTTTTTGCATCTTGCACAGATATTCTTATATAAATAAACTAACCAACTAAAGCTTCAAGAATCATAGCTTTCTTGGATCAAACCCCAGAAGGAAGAATATAAGAAAACTTGAGAAAGGAGACTTACGATTGTTGAAATCGGCAAGCAAGTGACGGTGCAAAAAGCAGCCCAAAAAAAGTAACTGTTTGGACTCAAAGATGATGCTTGCTCTGCGTCTGTGTGTGTGACTATATATATATATATAGTCTACTTATATCAGAAGTGCTTTCTGGTTAGAGATAATATTTTATACTGTTTCATGGGACTGAAACAAAAGCTAAAGCTGATGCAGGGTGGTGGTTTTGTGCTTTCGTTGGCTTTCTGGATTTGTAACGATGAGTCTTGTCCCCTTTCTATTCTTCTGCACCTAAGGCACAACCATTTTCTTTCCCTTTGAAGGAAGAATCATTATAAATTTTTTTATGTATCATTTGTAAGAGTATTTTTTTTAGGCATAGGTATCATTCTATCAAAGGGCAATCATGTTCAAGACGTTGTCAGGTACTAAATATAAGCACTTCGTCCGGTAGGAATTCAAATCTTAATTTACCATATTGTAAAGGACTAACCCTTTCTATTAGACCTAACCTCTGTTTGTAGAAGCTACATAATTAATTTATATGGATTAAAAAATTAGTTAATCTAATTACTTGTAAAATATGTGTGTTAGTTTTTTCTAAAATACTTCTTTTAATTTGCATTGAGATTACAAAGTCCTTTTAATATATACAATGGAATAATAAGTAGGAACAGTTGCAGAAGACAAAATACTACAACAAGAAAAAAACTCCTAACCAAATATTACATTTAGGATTGAAGATATTATTTCTTTTAATGACATACTTTGTTTTTAAATTTAATAAATGGAACATTATACTATTCCGATTCTAAATATAAAACATATTTTATAGTGTAATTTATACTACAAAATAGGTTTTACATTTAAAACCAGAATAGTACTTTATTTGGGTGTATATATAATCCTTCTATATACACACACAGTTTTTAATCCTAAAAATAAATCTCTTAATATATCACCAAAAATAAAAAGCTTATATATTAGGGAAACAAATTCTAGAAACTTTCATGTATGCGTAAGCTTATATGTTGGGCGTCTTTATATATCAGCTGAAACAAATAATGAAATGTTTTTAGTTAGGAAAATTATGATGTGAAAGTGTGCAAATTTAAATAAATTTTTTATTATTTTAAAATATAAAAAAAATCATCTACTAATGTTAGAGGTTGAGTATAAAGGATTTAGAGAAATTTGGTTAAAAAATCCCTCTTTAAAAATTTAATTAGATAAAAGGACTAAAATTTGAGCACATACAACTTTTTTTTTTTGTATACAAACAACTTTTGTATTGATAATTGTTATGCATCATTGGTAATATGTTACACATAGTGGAAAAAAAGTTATACTCACATATCATAATTGCACTTACTCAAATTTAGGTCATTTTAGCTAATAAAGTTTTTAAACAAAGTCTTTTAACCAAATTTTCTAAGGACTCATTATTAGTATTCTTTGAGTAAGATTTGGTATTCAAATATTGTAAACAAATAAATAAAGTTGGAAAAGCTTTTCTGTAATATTATAATTTGAAACTCAGAAAAAAAAATGCATTCTTATAAAAATAATTTTAACATAATTTTTATTAAGAAAATAATTCTGAAGAGTAACTAAAACAAAGAAGCAAAGAGATGCGATTCTTCGCATAGGAAATCTCTAGTTCTGTGATTACTACCTTCTTCATTAAGAAGAAAGTTCTATTTTGTCTCTCTCAAGCTTCTCCTGCCACATTGTTTGTGTCTTATGTACTACTCTGATTTTAAATATAAAATAAATATTATATTTACAATTTAATAGCATAAATTACATTGTAAAATAGATTTTCTATTTAAGACCAAAAGAGTATATCAATGTGATTATAATTATTAATTCTTAATCACTAATTAGTTAGTATTTAAGACTAAAAAAACACGTTGCTAGTATTATATAACTGTGCGTTATTCTTAATATCATTTTGGCTTACTTAAAAAAACACAGAGAATTCCGATAAAGTAAAGTAATTGTCTCCTACATGTTGATATTTCAATAATCACAAGCAAATTACACAACAGCATATACACACGCAAAAGGGGAAGTTTATCTCAGGTTAAATTTTTTCTCCAACACGTTGTTGCTCTTGACTATATCTTTATTATCTTTCTAGAGTGTTTAGATTAAATTTTAATAATATAAATCAATTTATATTTTAAAAAAATCGTCAAATTTAATTTGAATCCTCTCATAGGATTTTTTTTTTTTTTTCATCATTAAGACATAAACATTTACAGGCTAAAGTTGTGAGTGCGATAGAGTTTACACTTTTTACTTATAAAAAAGTTTTCATGCCATTAGGCTTGTCAGCTTCTCATAGTACATTTGGCGAGTTTCACGACGTTAGACCACAAAACTCTTGGCCGAAGAGTTATAATTAATTATTTTAGCTCGGATTAGAATTAATCATCAAATCAGTCATAATTATTTATAAGTTTAAGCGAACTACTCAAACACAACCCAGCCCATCATTAAAAGAAGGCCCAATACATTTCAACAAGTTAAAAAAAAATCATCATGTGGGCCAGAGCCACGCCCAAAATTCTCTAACAGTTTAGCCCAACATCTACGAAGGAAAAAAGCTGATCTACTTTGATGCGCCCTGAGGGCTTATAGCAAACTTTAAATCCACAATTTGGGAGCTATGATGGGCAATTTTATCAGTTAAACTAAAGAGGTGTTTGGATGGAAATCAAACCATAGTTTTAAAAATACTTTTACAGTTTACGAAATAAATATGTGGATGAGTTTGTCTCGTTTTGTGAAAAAATACTTTTCAAAAGTGATTTTGAAAGTTACTAAACACCCCCTAAATTGACTGCAAATGACATTCTTGTATTTTCAAGAATATATATTTTAATTGGCAAAAAATATAAGAAGAATTACAACTAAGGAAAAAAATAATTATTAAAAAATCTCAAATAATAACAGAAGGATGACAACTTTCGGAACTTATTTTGTAATTTTTTTTCCTAATTCTCCCAATATATAACATCTAAATAGAATGGTCAATCGGCAGATGTCATAGTAGTGGCATGAAAATCCTTACGTGACTTTTAGAAAGATATATATATATATATATATATATATATAAGTAGTGATATCGTTAAGAAATTAATTAATTTTTAAAAAAATTGTTTGATCAAATATTACTTTACATGTTTAATAATTTATAATATCAATATTAAAAATTTACTAGTTTATAATATGACTATCAATAAGGTCAAAAAAAAAATCACTATCCATAATTCTTGGTTGAAACATGAAGAGAGTCAGAAAACATGCCAATATGCCATTTCCTTCTGTAACGCTGTTCCATGTTTCGGACCCTCCGCGACAATGTGGGTCGCCTTCTTCCTCGTTTCCGCTCGCAGAAATCCCTTCACCTCTCTCGTTCTCTCCAATGGAAGCTTCGGGACGAGTACAAGCTTCCTCCGACCGAATTGGTCGACCGAATCTGTCGCCTCCTCGTTCTCCATCGTTTCCAGGCTCTACAGCAACTGTCCTTCCACTTCTCCGACCAGCTCATGGACTCTGTTCTCCGCAGGCTCAAACTTAACCCTACTGCGTGTTTGAGATTCTTTAAGTTCGCTTGCAAGCAGCAGAGTTACAGGCCCGATGTCAAGTCTTACTGCAAGATTGCTCACATACTGGCCAGAGCGCGAATGTACGACGAGACAAGGGTCTTGTTGAACGAATTGGTGGTGAATTACTGTAAGAATAATTACTGGGCAGTTATTGTTTGGGATGAGATTGTTGCAGTTTATAGGGAGTTCTCGTTTTCTCCAACTGTCTTTGATATGATCTTGAAGGTATATTCGGAGAAGGGTATGACAAAGTATGCCTTACATGTTTTAGATAATATGGGCAAGTGGGGTCGTATCCCCAGTTTGAGGTCCTGCAATTGCTTGTTGAGTAAATTGGTTAAGAATGGTGAGTGTAGCACGGCGTTACTCGTTTTCGATCAGATGATGAGGTTAGATACTGTGCCTGATGTTTTTATGTGTACAATTATGGTGAATGCTTATTGTCAGGAAGGAAGAGTGGCGGGGGCTTTTTTTTTTATGGAAGAGATGGAGAGGAAGATGGGATTTGAACCAAATGTTGTTACTTACAACGCTTTGCTTCATGGGTATGTAAACCAGGGAGATATAGAAGGGGCAGAAAAAGTATTGAGTTTGATGTCTAAAAGAGGTGTTTCAAGAAATGTACTTACTTTCACCTTGTTGATAAAAGGTTACTGTAAGCGATCTAGGATGGATGAAGCAGAGAAGGTGCTTGAAGGCCTAGGGGAGGATGACTTGCTGGTAGTGGATGAACGTGTGTATGGCGTACTGCTGGATGGGTATTGTCAAATAGGCAAAATGGATGATGCCATTAGGACCCGAGATAAGATGTTAAAAAGAGGCTTGAAAATGAATATATTTATCTGCAACTCCTTGATCAAAGGGTACTGCAAGCATGGCCAAGTATGCAAAGCAGAAGAAGTCTTTTGGCAGATCCGGGATTGGAAGCTAAGGCCAGATTCTTATAGTTATAATACATTATTAGACGGTTATTGCAGGGAAGGACATATAAGCAAGGCTTTTATGCTTTGTGAGGAGATGTGGCGAGATGGAATTAATCAATTACCTGTCACTTACAATATTATTCTTAAGGGGTTAATTCGTGCTGGTTGTTATGATGATGCTTTGTGCCTTTGGCATTCAATGCTACAAAGGGGTGTGACTCCAAATGAAGTCAGTTACTGTACTCTGCTTCATTGCTTCTTTGAAATGGGAGACTCAGATAGCGCTATGATGCTATGGAAAGACATGTTAGGGAGGGGATTTACCAAGAGCAAAGTTGGTTTCAATACAGTGATCAGTGGTTTATGTAAGATGGGTAAGGTAGTGGAAGCAGAGGCAGTTTTCAGCAGAATGAAGGAGCTTGGATGTTCACCAGATGAAATGACGTACAGGACTCTGAGTGATGGGTATTGTAAAATTGGTAGTGTCATAGAAGCTTTTAAAATTAAGGACGTGATGGAGAGACAAGAACTTTCTCCTTCCATTGAAATGTATAATTCTCTTATTAATGGACTTTTCAAGTCTAGGAAGCCAACCAAAGTCAGTGATCTCCTTGCTGAGATGCAGAGCAGAGGATTATCTCCTAATATTATCACCTATGGAACCCTTATTGCTGGTTGGTGCAATGAAGGTATATTCGATAAAGCCTTTAGTGTATATTTTGAGATGATTAATAGGGGGTTCTCTCCCAATTTGGTAGTCTGCAGCAAAATTGTCAGTAGCCTTTATAAGTTTGGTAGAATCAATGAAGCAACCGTCCTCCTAGACAAGATGGTAGATTTTGACCTTCTTACAGTTCATAATTGCTCCCCGAAATTTCTCAAAACTGATATCATTAGCATAGAAACTGAGAAAATTGCTGATTCTCTTGATAGAAGTTTTATAAGCTATCATCTTCCCAAACCCAGTAATGTCTTGCACAACATAACTATAGCAGGACTTTGTAAATCTGGGAAAGTTAAGGAAGCAAGAAATGTTTTATCAGCTTGGTTACTGAGAGATTTTCTTCCAGACAATTTCACATATGGTCCCTTAATTCATGCCCACTCAGTTGATGGCAATGTGAATGAAGCTTTCAACTTGAGAGACGAGATGCAGGAGAAAGATCTTGTTCCCAATATTACTACATATAATGCGTTAATAAATGGGCTGTGCACGTCAGGGAATATGGATAGAGCACAGAGGCTTTTCCAGAAGCTTCCTCAAAAAGGGTTGGTTCCTAATGTTGTTACTTATAAAATAATGATGAATGGATACTGCAGAACTGGTGATTTTACTGAAGCCTCTAAATTAAGAGAAAGGATGGTTGAAGAAGGGATTTGCTGATCACATACTTTGCCTTGACGGGGCTTTTGGGCATAATCTCAAGTTTTGGATCAGAGCATCCTATCAGGTTTGAATGAACCTTGTCTAATACTGATACACAATTCTTCTAAATGGAAAGCAAAAATAATGCATTTGCAATCGATTTTTGTTACCTGAAGCCAATTTTCAATTCACTAACTATTTAATTACAGGTCTTATCTTTCTGACCGTCACTATTGTGGTTTGTATTATCTTGATTGTTCAATGGTTATCCTTCTCATGATATCTATATTTACTTTGACTGGGTTGGCCTGAGGTTTCCTAAGGTTTATTCATATCAAGTTCAATTAGGTCTCTCTAGAATGTCATTTCTAGGGTCAAAGATGTCTATTAAGGTTTTCATAAAGGAATGGTTCTGCACTAGTTATTATATTGATCCATTTGCAAATGACTTGTTTGTCTTTCTTGAGTAATACTTGTGCAAATTTAACAAGAGACTAAATTTGAGTACAAATGATCATACTTGACACTTTCTAAGTGAGGTTATCTAGTCACATGCTAGTTGTGAGAATTGTGATAAGAAAAGGCTGTGCAACTAACATTACTTCTATTATGAATCTGACGAAATGGGACCCTATCTTGAGAGACTATCATGTCAAGGTGGGATAGCCTTGAGGCTCATCTTCCATCTTTGGTCGCAATGCTTACTTGAAATTAATAAGAAACAAAAAATATGTAAGTACCAGTTGGTAACTAACAATAGGAGGTTAGGAGTTATGATGAGGTATGTTGATCATCTGGAATGGAGATGCACTCGGGAATTGGATTTTTTTTTTTGTGTGTGTGTGTGTTGGTTTTTAGGTTATATCATTTGGTTCTTTTATTTATCCTTCAATGCGCTAATGGCAGAGGAGTCACAATCATTATGTCTATCTGGAGGAAAATGTCAAAGTGCCTGATGAAGACTATCCAGAGTTCAAAAGGGCCACTCGCTTTTCAGGGAACAGCAGATAAAAGATTAACAATGGTTAGGACATAATCTGTTGCTGCAACGGCTTAAATAATGGTACCTCAGTGTCATCTATTCCAACTCAAATTTATGAGAATCATGGTTTTCTTGGCAATCATGGATCTTTGATTTTTGGTCAAGAGCAGATGTCACATTTGAATGGTTCATATCATTCCTGTAATAAATGTCCAAAAACAATGTGTTCAAGAGCGAGATTTATGAAGATTGGGGATGTGGGTGCTGCTGTTTTGCAAGATTTGTAAAAGAACATTTTTACTCAGAAGCTTAAGCTAATTAGTGAAGGTCACATATGGTTTTCATTAATATCTCTACTCTCTAGGGTGCTCCTTCAAGCAGAAGCCACTTTGAGCTTGAAATGTGGACAATGCACTGGCTCACCATACTTTACTGAAGCTTAATTTTAAATAAGGAGGGTGGCAAAGAACAAACTTTGACGATTTGCCCGGAGAAGGTTTAATTCCACGTCAAGGAACATTTAAGATTAAAAGGGCAACTATGTCTACTTGCTCTCACAACTTTCAGTACCAAGCTACCAGGGCCATTAATGTTATTGGTGGACATAATGTTGTTCTGGTTTTTGTTCTCATGGCAGCATCATTGATGTATTTCTCGTCGCCATCAAAGATGAGTCCAGTCTATTCTCTTAAGTTGGCTAGATAACAGATTGGACTTTTCAGTTTTCAAATACTGTGCATTATTAGCTGCATGAAAGCCTATAATGTAAAAACTATATCAACTATGTCTATTACAGAGATGTTCGTAGATTACGAGCACCTTAGTTGATATTGCCGCATCTATGTGCAAAGTCTCTTCCTCAATTTCAGTGAGCTTTGGCTATAATTTGGTTCTGCATGTTGGTCAAGCTCTTGGATTCAGTAAAGATCCAATGTAAATTCTTCTTTGGTTAACTCTTAGCTTTCTTCCTTTAATATCAATTCTTTTGCTCTCTGACCCATTTCAAATTTCTTTCCAGTGATATGGGAATACATGTATAAACCCCCCCCCCCCAAAACCAAAAAAAATCTTGCTTTTCCTGATACTTCATCACGGTTTAATTGGATATTGGGATGGTAAAACGAGCTTCTTTTACTATGTATGGATTTTACTTTTTATATCATTCTATCTAAATCCCTTGCACCCATGCAAAGTAGTTGGAATGTATTCTGTTTATAAATTTTCCCCATATGCTGCCTCCTCTTACTGCTTACTATCTTGAAGGAAAGGTATGATCACATTCACTCCACCGAAGTAGCAAGTCTTTGCTAGAGTAAGAGAAGTACCATCAGAGGGTTGCAACTCTTGAGAACGTGGCAGGACTACTGGAAATCTTCTTTAAAGCTTCAACGTAGAAGCATTGGTAAAGAGAATATATGGCTGGCAGCATTTGACGATTGACCTTGTAACACAGCACGCGACAACTATATGCAGCACATAATATTTAAGACAGGAGGAAATATCTGCGGTTTCCCTTTAAATGGAGGAAAAGTCAATGACGTATGTGTCTTTCTCTTTAAAATCGCAGGCTGTGTTCTGAAAATCCGATGCTGTATGTTACATGGATTACAAAATGATCCTCCATTGCAGCTATTGCAATGAACTTAACAAGAAAGCTACCAATCACGATGAGAATAACGTTCAGATCTTCGATCCCAGATGTGTCACTTTTGAGGAGGGACAGTTATTGGGGTAGTTTTTTGTCTTGGACTTCTGTTGCTGCAGATAAACAACTTAAATTCTACGATGTAGACCAGTTGGTTGCTAAAAAGGCAAAGGGTAGTTATTGTTTCAGGCCGAGGAATTGAGAGAATATGTTATGTTTGGTACATTAGGTACGAATGGAAGGAAAATAGAAAATAGATGGAGTATGAATATCATTCTTGTGTCTTTGGGGACAAAATAATAAAGAGAAACAGATTACTGATTCAACTACTTTGTCGTCCTCCTTGGCTTCCTTGTATTTTCAAGAAAGTCTTTTTTTTTTTTTTGAAAAAAAGGAATTCAAGAAAATCTTTTTACTCATACTGTTGTAGATCATGAAAAAGAGCGTGAGGTCAGGAAGAAAAAAACAAGGGCCTGAGTTAGAAGCCAACCTTGGAGAACAATCAAGCACAACCTTCAATTATAAAGGTGTCAACTTGAATTGAATATGATTGTTTATTTAGGTATTTTTTACCGATTTGTGATGAATTTATAATTTGTGATTACTAACTTCATTTTGTTTCCATGATAGAATACACTGAAGAGGAAGGAATTTGGTGCCAAAGTTTAAATACATCCACCACTAATTATAATATTTAGAAAAAGCGATAATGGACACACAAAAAAAACTTTTGATAGAGTATAGAATTAGTTCGTCTGCCTTGTGGGAACAGACAAGAATAATTAGGTAAGGATAAGCATTAAATCATTGAAGTCTTGCTGATTTTTAATTTAATCTCATGTTGTGGGCCATGGATGGATGATGACTGGTAAGTGAAGTTTATTAACCAAGTCGATATATCCAACATACAAATATTGACGAAGACTTGTTTACAAATCGCGAATTTAAAACAATAACAATAATAATCATAATAATAAATCTTATACCAACGAGGGTTAAGTTTAACAGAAGATGTTAGTCTCTTACAACGTGGCGAACTAAAATTCAAATCTCTATTAGAAGAGGTATCACAGTACTTCGAATAAAATTGTCTCTGATACAACGATGCCTATACTTTAGGGGGGAAAAAAGTCTTATCATAGAGTCGGCTATATTTATCAGGTTATATAGATTGCAAACTTTGGACAACACTAAATAAGACCGGGGGACACGTGTTCATTCATATGTGTCAGAGAATATTGATTCAAACAAAAGGTGTTTGAATGGCTCCAATGATTTGGAAGACCCAAATCTTGTTTAGGACACTTGGCAGAGATATTTAGATTAAAATACTCGTGTGTGTGGGAAACTTGAGCAATGGATAAATCCACAAAGCCATTTCAATTAATGTATAGGTCGGCATATGGACTCCTTAATTAACATATTATGGGATCACATCAGTGATTAATGATTAAAAGTTGACAGATAAAAGTATTCACTTAGGTGGCCGTTTGGAAATAAAAATGAGCCGTTTGATAATATTAGAAGTGTTTTTCTCTTTTTTTTTTATGGAAACGAAATTAAAAGTAAAAATCTAAATAACAATTGGCTTCTGAAATTTGTCAAGTATGATTATAGAAACCTCTTGCAATATTGCACATTCTATAATTAACTAATTTATTTATCTTTTTTAATCTTTAAAAATTAGCCTTTGGATAATATATTAAGGGCAAGAGATCATATTAATATTTGATTATAATGTGTATTTATATTATGAAAAGACTCAAATATCCTTATGATTTTACTCCTCCGGTTCTTAATATAAGACCCATTTACCTAATTTGATTAGATTAAGGAAGTTAGGTAAGTTAGTTAATTATAAGAAATATGACACGTTTTTCCTAAAATACCATAATCATATTTCTTAATACCTCATCTTTCTCTTTTACTTGATTATGGTTGAAAGGGTATCCATAGGGGTAATTTAGAAATAATTGATAAATATGAGAAATGGGTCTTATATTTAGGACCAAAACTAACTCACCAATTGGGTCCTATATTAAGGACCGGAGGAGTATTAAAAAAAAAAAGGATCTCTTCAAAACTTCAATCGTCCAAAACTATCACCATGCATCATCGAAGACCTCTGAGATCACTTGGCCACGACATAAAACCCAAAGCATCCACCAAGAAGCAGTTTCCATGAAAAAAGAATAAGAAGAATCATTAAACATAGAAATCATAAGCATCAAATTTAGAGAGACCCGAAAAACTTAGATCTTGCCTGATGGAGTTTGCAGCAAAGACAAAAATCATCCACGGGCTTCAATGGTTGGTATCGATGGTTGCTTCAACACAATTACACAAACCCTACCCTTGTAAGATGGTTGCAGAAATTGTGAGCTTTAATGGTGATGCCTTTGGTGGGGGTCATGGTCATAGAAGAGGGAGGGTGGTGGTGGGGTGAGAAGTTCATCACTTCATTCACTTGGCTGGTGGTGGTTCTGGCAGGGTGTTAATCGAAGTATTGAACACTAAGAGCTTATCACTATTGTGCCCTTCCAGAACTAATTTAAATGGTTTATATTGAAGCTTAGTTGAGATCTAAGGGTTATTCTGTGTTCACTTTCTTTCCTGTTTTGTTATCTTTTATTTTACGTTGGGTTGACCTCTGTTTACTAATTGTTTTGAGTTTTACTTAAATAATTTTTCTGTTTATCTATATCTTTTTGATAAAACTGCCTTCTAATAAGAAAAATGATTTAGATTAATTTTTGAGTTTCAATATTTTTTAAAAAAATTATTTTAACGGAATCTGAAATAAATATAATCTTTTAATTGTCAATCTTTTTTAAAAAAATGAATTCTTTTACTTAAAAATATTATATGAACATTTTAAATCTGGTTTGTTTAAATTGTATTTGAGCAGTGTGAATCTCATAACAATAATAAGCAGAGTGATACTTATAATTTACATGAGTATCATGAAAGCATGGAAGAGGGAAGGGATTAAAATAAAGCATGAAAGAAAGAGTGTGAATTTTTAGGAAGTGGGCATAATAGTCAATTTCACTAATTTTGGTAAAACTACCCAAAGAAACATTTTGATGGGAGTTACTTCCAATTGCAATTCCATATTCCTCAATTTCATGATACAAAATGAGCCCTTGTTCTCTGTAAATATCTTGTTGATAGGTGATATGTAAGTATTTCTGTAAGCGCTTTTTAAGCCTGGAGGTATGTTCTGGCCTAGTGAGCCTCCAGAACCCAACTCACCTAAACTTTTTATTACCAAAAAAACAAAGAAAAAAAAGAGCCCTTGTTAAATTTTCATTGGTTCAACAACCATATTTTAGAAGACTTAATAAATTAAATTTTCTTGATATCTCCTGACTTATTTTCTTCTCTCTTCCCCTCCCTCACTATTTTAATATTTTTATTGCCACCACTCTCCTCCTTCTCTCTAAATTATTATCATTAAAATTAAATAATAATGCTTAGTGTGATCTGTGTCTGTACCCTAGAGTATATTTGTATGTATCTGATCTTGAACCTAGGGAAAATTGATTTTAGGAAGTTGAGTTGTATTTTCGCACCTAATTCCTTCTCTAGGGATTTTGACCCATCCCTATATCAATATGTCATATTGTCATCAACAATTTAAAATTAAGAACCCGACTAATTTACAAATTCGATATCTTTAATTGTCTAATTATAGTATTATAAACGTTTCTGTAATTAATTTCAAGGGTTTATATATAAATATCAAATTAAATTATTATGTAAAAAATAAAACGGATTTGTCAATGTAACTCTTTTCCATCTATATATTTTCCTACTATTCAGTGATTTATTTAAAACCTTGGTATGTAAGGATAATATAGAGTAGGGGAAAAAAAGGGCAATATAGATTATATACTAATGCAATAGATGCGTATTAAAAAAATCAGGCATCTAAACTTAATTTGTTATTTCTCCGGTTTTTAATATAAGACCCATTTAACTAATTTGATTAGATTAAGGAAGTTAGGTAAGTTAGTTAATTATAAGAAAAATGACATATTTTTTCTAAAATACCATAATCATCTTTCTTAATACACTTTCTTCTTCTACTACTTGATTATAGTTGAGGAAGTATTCATAGAGGTAATTTAGAAAAAATTAAGAAATATGAGAAATGGAATTTATATTTATGATCAAAACCAACTTAACAATTGGGTCCTATATTAAGGACCGGAGGAGTATTTTTTTGCTTATATATTTCTACTTTATTTTTGGCCTTTTTTTGGGTTCTAAAATCCGTCATTTTTTTTTTTGCCAATCTAAAATCCATCAAAGTTACATGTTACCCGTCTCACGAAAAAATGCACATTACATATATGCGACCAAATTTGTTCACTATAATTTTTATAAAAAGCAATATTTTCGTTTGATCAAAATATTAAAAATCTAAAGTCTAATATGATAGTGTCAATCTAATATAATCAATTTTTACAGATAAAAATTTAGTTTGAATGATGTATAATTCAATTTATCATACCATTTGAGTTTTAATCACAATAAAAATGATCTGCGAAAAGGAAAAGTTTCAAACTTGGATATAAAGATTCAATTTTTATAAACAAAAACTTGTGCCCCCATCAAATCAAATCTGGGATATGCGCCAAAAGAAGTTAGCATTAGTTTGTAACACAAATTATGGCCACTCCCAGAAAACTTAAACATTAAAAAATTTACAAGCACTGAGAGGAGAAAAGAAGGTGGGAGTGAGTGAGAAGGGGTTTTCGTTTTCGCCTTTTTTTCGGTTCAAAGCGAGAGAGAGAGCTTCGGTTTCATCATCATCATCATCTTCTCCGTCGTGCGGCGCAACCCTAGAAAGTCCCGTAGTAAGCGAGCCCTCTGGGGCGTTCGCAGATCTGGGGTTGGTCACAGAATCAGAGAAGAGGGTAAGGGAGAGGGGGGAGGAGTGGAGGATGAGTGGCAAAGGCGGTGGAGGCGGCGGCAACGGAAAGAAAAGTAATGGATTAGCCGGGGTTCCTTCGGCGTCGAGGAAGGTGGTACAGAGCTTGAAGGAGATTGTCAGTAATTTTCCTGAGCATGAGATCTATGCTATGCTTAGAGAGTGTAATATGGACCCCAATGAAGCTGTCAGTCGCCTCCTCTCCCAAGGTTCTTTCGTGTCAGCTGTTCAATTTTTGGCCCCCAGTCTTCTTAGTGTGTTGAGAAAATGTGTTTTTATGAAAAGTAGTAAATTTCTCTTTCGCTGCATAATTGTTTTGTTTTCATATGGACCTGAAGGAAACTAGTCTTAATAGTTCCTGTGGTGTCTCATCTCCTGGGTAACACTGACTGCTAATGTTGTGTCAGTCTCTTGTATAACTTTATCTTCAACTAGTTTGTGTTAGGTGTGGGTTTTTTGTTTGAAAAATAAAAAAGAAGTTTGCTTTCGGAAGTTTGAGTTTCCATAACGTAGGCTTTTGATTTTAGTAGCACGTATAGTGGTTTGGATAAATCTTTGCTTCAAGTCTCTTTTTTCGCCGTTTAACACACTGACTGTATCTTTGCAGATTGACCTTATAGATTTTGCTTTCCTCCTTCAATTGATTTCTAATTGCCTTGGTCGGTTCCAGATTTCCTATGCGTTTCGTGTTGCTTTAATTTTTCTGGCATAGGCTTGTGTTCCTTTCTCACTTGGAGTAAGCGAACCGTCTACCAGTATTATTTTTCAGCGAGGTTTTCATTACTTTCGGTCTTATTAAGTAGGACCTGAATCACTCCGAGGAACAAATTCACTTGGCACATATATTGTTTTAGGGCTCTTAGTTAATCTCTTTACGGTAGATGCAACATGTGTTTCCTTTTTCATTTTTAAGACTTACTGATGTCGATTTTGTACATAATACATTAGAGATGTGGGGGTCAGAAGTATGGTGAGATATTACATGCGTAAAGTAGTTAGATGTTGAAATTTATTTCTAATTCACAGCTTATTAATTGTGCAGATCCTTTTCATGAGGTGAAAAGCAAACGGGAAAAGAAAAAAGAGGTGTGTCTATTTGCGAAATATGCATGCTTTTTGTAATCTACTACTCTTCAGGGTGGGGTTTATATTTGATGAACAAGTAATTTTCATATATATTGAATTTGTTCTATGACTTGATTTGAGGGGTGTATGTATTGGACGGTACGCATCTTCTGTATATTTTAATAGTCACAAACATGTCCATGTTCCTTGGTCAATTTATTGCGATTAAAAAAAAAAAAAAGGAACTTGAATAGTGTACTTCAAAATAAACCTCACTATGCATACATTCATATTGTTTAGTTTCATGTATAGCATGGATGATAGCATTGATAATATGCGTTTTTTGGATAATTGGACATAAAAAATTTCTTAATCTATCCATTTGCTTAATGCTTTTATTTTCCAGTTTTATTTTTCCATATGATGTGATTATTGTTACCCGTTTCTGTTGTTGCATCAGAATAAGGACATACCTGATTCCAGGTCTCGTGCAACAAATTACTCATCCAGTCGCGGTGGTAGGGCTGGCACAGATCGTTATGCTGGACGTGCTGGCACAAATCAATTCAATAGCAGTGCTACTGGTATGCGTGTGTAGCCCCTCCAACCCCCTGAACCCAAACAATAAAACCGTCTCATATGGTCTTAGTCTGATATTTCTGTTAAATTTGGAAAAAAGCATTTAGTCTGAAAATTTTTCTTTTTAAAAAGTTTTCTCCTCTTTTGGAGATCAGATTCTGGTCTCCTGCAGGGAAGACCTGGGTACAAGAAAGAAAATGGGACGAATGCTCCTGGAGCTCCTACATCTTCTTCTGGCATCTTGGGGAATAATGTGAACTGGCAATTGCCGTCTCACAGGTTTTCTCTTCAGTCGTTTAACTAATATTCTCTTCTCCCCTAGTTTATCATATTATTGTCCGTCCATTCTGTCTATTTCTTGATGGTTCTATTTTCAGCATGTATGAACTTGTCAACTTTTAAGAATATTTAATATCTTGCAAGGAATCTAATGAAGACCTAAGCTAGCCAGGGAAACTTATCTCACATGAATTACTTGTGGCTTCCTGGTCGGGTTTTCCACCTGAATCGTGGTAAAAATGGAGTGGCCAGAATTTCAATACATTATGGATACATATAATTATTTAATTAATTCTTAAAGTAGTTCTTTTTTTCCCCGTCTCAGCTGTCTTGCCGACAGGAATGATTACTTGTTTTGTTTTTTTTCCCAATATAATGTTTTTGAAATTTTAATAATACTTATTTCCTGTTTACCTATATTTAAACTGGTTTGTCCGATTCTTCTTAGAAACGAGTTGTTAAATCTTCCAACTTTTATTAGTTACAAAGTATGTTTAATTCTTTGCATTGAATTATATTCTGTTCTCATTTTCAAACTCCTGGTGCGTTTTCTACAATTTATTCGCTGGATTGCTTTTGGATTCTATTCTCAATTCTGATACAGTAATGTACTTCCTGGATTATCCTGTGTTTGTGGAAAATGACTACGGTGGAAAAGATTGGTCAAAATGGATGGGTCAGGATTTTGATATTTTCTTTCTTTCAATGTAACATTGTAGTCCCTCTTTAATAGACGCAAAATCATATAAATAAAGAATCAAAAGTCCTGAATTATTAGGCTGGTTATTGCTATGTTTTGTTTAGCTACCTGCATGTCATGATTGTTTATCTTCCTACTTTGGTTGTGCCTACAAGTGCTTAGACGCAACACTTTGGTATTAGTATGTCGTCAAGCTAGATGTCACATGATTCATGTATGATAAAATTGTTGCAGTGATTCTGTGGCGAGTGAATTATGTGGGGGTGATGGACTATCTTCATCATCACAACATGGGGGATTGCAATCCGCATGGATGGGGGTCCCAGGTCAAGTATCAATGGCCGATATTGTCAAGATGGGTAGGCCACAGGCCAAGGCTTCTGTTCCTAGTTCTTCCATTAACAGTAACCATCATAATGTTTTGGTACCTCCATCTGCATCACATCAGAGCTTGCACTCATTGCATGTGTCAGAGGCAAATGCTGATCAAGGCTTTTCTGTTAGCCATGATCGTCAGAATGATGAATGGCCTTCTATTGAGCACCAATCAAGTGCTAATGCTTCCTCTATCACTGGTGCGCTTCTGAATTCAGAGTACTACGGAATCCCAACTAACTTGGATGAAGCTAATCGGCAGCAAAAGTCCCATGTAGAAGAACATTTAGCTGACGATGTTCCTCTTGAGACTACAGACAATGTTGAACCTGCTTCTATTTCTGCTACATCTGAGGATAATGGTGGAGGTGCATCTGTTTTTGATGATAACTTGTACGAGGATAAAAGTCCTTACCAACATCACCGACATTCTTTTAATAATAATGAAGGTTGCCAGGATGCTTCAAACTTATCTACTGTTGTGCAAATTTGTCTTGAAATATATTTTTGCCATTAAATGTTTTTGTGGTGCCTTAGAGTGCATATATATTGAACGGAGTGTTGAAATATTCTGATGTTTGAGCGTTCGTACCACCTGTTGGATGTGCAGTAAGTCTTTGAATTTCATTTTCTGTGAGTATCCTTTCTCCGTAGCGCATGTGAGAAAAAAATACGCCCAGGATTTTCTAGAAACATAAAGCACAAGGAGATTTTGTAATATTGGCTATTGCTTTGATGAGAGTATTGAAACGATTACTTTTCTCTAGATTTGCTCTTCTTTTTTTTTGTGTGTGTGTTCTCTTCCTCTTGTGTCAACGGGTTAAAGGGTATTTTTGCATTACTGGTTCACTATTCAATGCCATTTTTCCATGCCCGTTTATGGCCCCTCAACTTTACTTTTAATTTTTTTTCAGCAGAAGATGGTGTTTCCTCAATGTCTGCACACTTGGAGCAGCTGAATTTACAGAAAGATGATCAGGTGGAAGAACCAGAGGAGGAAACTGATTCTGTTGTGATTCCAGATCACCTGCAACTCCATAATCCAGAATGCTTGAATTTGAGCTTTGGGAGTTTTGGATCGGGAACAAATGCTGCCTTTCCTTCTTCTGGGCCATATGCGTGTGGGCCTGTGAAAAGTAACTCAGAGGAGACTTCTGGAGCTACCGATGCTGCAACAATTGGTCCATCAGATTCTAGGTATGTTTGTATATGGTTATATATGGTGTTCAATTTTATGGTCATTCATAATTGCTTCGTATTTTTCTCCCAGGAATTCTGACTATTATGAGGATGAACATCTCACTAGTACCTCTGATGGAAACTTGGTTCAAAGGACTGATGTGACTGCTGGGTCTTATGGGTCTCCTTCCATTTCACAACCAGAGGTGTTAAAAGCAGAGTCTCCTCCTGAGGCTGTTCAGGGGAATCAATATTCATTCCCCTCATCTTCACATGGGTTTACTTATGATAATAGTCAACAACCAGATGTCCCGTATTCTCATTCACAAACAAACACACCGATGCAGAACCTTGCTCACTTCTCAAGTGTAATGGTAATACAGACCTGTAGATTTGTAAATATGTAATGATGAGCATGTTCAATCGCTGGTTCTTGATTCTGGTTTTCAGTGAACGAGATTTGGTTCCGTAATGATGGGGGAGTGATTTTAGGTGAGAGTTCAGAGGAGTAACTAACTACCATTAGACATTCTTTCAAGATAGCGCAAGAATCTTCATAAATGTTTACTGAATATTTTCATTGAATTTCACATTTATAATTTGGTATTAACCTTGACCTATTTTTTGTGACCTAATGGTGATAATTTACTCCTCTGACTTGATACACCCCTATTTATGCGCATATAAATTTGTTTTTTAAGTTGCTTTTCTTTATAAACTTGTATGCATTGGACCTTACGTTTGCTATAATTGTTTTTATACTTGTTTCCTCCCATTAGACTATGATGTGATGAACTGATGTTTTGCCTATTTTCGTGCGCAGCTCATAATAATACTAGTTAATTCACGTAGTTTTTTTTTTAATTTTTTATTCTCTGTCAGGATCTCACAATGCTGGCACTTTCATCTAATGTTTAGTTTTCATCATGTGACAGGGTTATACAAGTTCTTTGCCCAGTGCTTTGTTGGCTTCAACTGTTCAGACGGCAAGGGAGGATGTCCCTTACTCACCTTTCCCTGTGACACAATCAATGCCTGCAAAATATAGCAACATTGCTTCTTCAGTTGGTGGTCCCACCATATCCATGTCTGAGGTGCCCTTCTACCCCTGCAGAATTGATATTTTAGTAAATTTGATTGTCAATGTAACATTGTAACCACGTCTAACAAGGGATTCTTAATTTCACCAAATCTATATGACTTCTGTTTTTATCTGCATGGAAAAGAAGCTTTATTAGAAAGATGCCAATCATCATTTATAATCAAATCAAATACAATGTAAATTAAAATGACACTTGAGTGTGCAGTGCCAATATGCCCTTGATTAGATACCAAAACTCACACTAAGAGAAAGACGTGTGGGGAAGGGGAAGGGCTGACTAGAGGTATACGGGGAATGGTTAGTGGAGCTGGGTAGTTCCTGGACCGGAGTAAAAAGTGGAGATAGTGAGGAAGCAGTAATTAACTCACCACCTAGAGAACAGGTGATAATGGCAGAAAATAAGATCCATGATTCACTACTTTGCATGATATATTGTTTGATTAATTTTAATTGTTAGATCCTTGTTGCATAAATAGTAGTTTTAGGAGCATAGATGATCGCCTTTGATTTTTGCTTGCTTTGGAGAGTCTCTTTTTTGGATTATTAGGGTGTTATGTTTTTATGATCCTTGCACCTACAGGTCTAGTGCTATTCTTGGCTTTAATTTTTTTTTTTTTTTAGGAGTTAAGATCCTTGATCATATTGTCTATTAAAGATTCTTTTCCTTCTTTTCGCTTAACCTATTAATCATAGATTCTATCATTTCTCCTTGCTTAAACCTGTGTGCTTTGGCTAGAGTGAATGCCCCAAGGCCAAGTCATTAAAGCCTATTACTTGCCAAGGATACTGAACTGCGTCTTCCTTATTAAGTGCCCTCTACCGGACAATTAAATTATGAAGATTAAGAATTCTGTATGCATTTGACACATCAAGGGATGAAGCTGTACTTTGTCTTCTAAACTTGCTGCCTGTCATAACGTTAACCCTGTAGCGTAACTGTGGTCCAAACAAATTGACCTTAGAAGACTAATAATTAAAGGAAGACAAGGAAAAGAATGAGAAGGCTTGACCAAGAGACTGATAGAGTAACTTGTGTTGCAGAGATCTTTAAAGGAAATTTAGGTAGATGCAAGAAAAGGGAAAGCAGCTTTCTGATGCCAGAGCATTGGCCTTGGGGCCCCTAATGTTAAGGAGAAAGAAATGATGAATTAGAGTTGCTATGGGATTGCTCTAGGCCTGGTCTAGGAGAGGGAAGTATTGGGGACTGTGAGAGTTACTTTTTGGCATATAGCAGTCATGGGAGTCTCCAAGAGAAGAGGGCCATATTTTGTATTTTTGAGTTTGGTGAGGAGAGACTAGCCTCTTATTGCCAGTGGTTATGTTCTGATCTTTGAGTGTTCTGGGTTTTGGTATTTGCTTGTGTTAGAGATTTCTGGGTGCAACAGGAAAATCAGTGGACTTCATTGTAACACTGATTTGGCATTATGAAGTATTGATATCAAAAGCTAAGGATTTGCCTCGTTTATTGTTTCTGCTGTCCTTTGTTTCTGCATTTGGCTGCTATTATTAAGCTGGATTCTACCAGAGACCAAGTTCTCGAATCTGCATCAAAGGAAAGATGTATGGTCAGAATCTAGTTTAAGCAGTAGGGGAGTAAAAATCCTGACAACAGACAATAGGGTCCTGACAAGAAGGTGGTTCTGGATGGAAGCATGGTGCGAAGAGGAAGAATTGGGAATTGGATGATGTGTGAAGGCCATAAGAAAAGAAATAAGCCCTGTTTACTTTTAGTTAGCCCCCAATATCTATGACTTATGTTGCCCACATCAGTGGTTGTAGGAGATATTACCCAGAAAACCTGACTTTATTCAGAGGCTAACAATGGTATTTAAAGGCACACATCCCAGGTTATAATCTTTCCTTAGGATTGGCCAAATTGCAAAATTATAAGAATTCAAAAGACAATCAAATCTTAATCAGAATCGCAAAATCAAAGGGATAATTAAACTACTAATATCTGCTAGTAGTTGAAAGGGAAAGAACGTGGTTATGGGCCAGACCCATGGTGTTTTCAACGGTGGTCAGCCAACGCTATGAGATGATGTGCTGGTGCAATTTCTGCTTACTGGTGTTCGTGATAGGTAGTTAAAACTAGAAAAAGAATATAAGACGACATTTCTTACTTTGGACTGAATGATTAATGTTACTGGTCATTTGTACATGAATGTAAGCTCTGTGGGTCTTTTGTAAAATTGTATTTTCTGTATAAAAATAATACTGAAGTTTGTATTTTATATTTCTATGCATATATAATATTGGAGTTTCTACTCATTCAATGGGTTAAGAAACTGGAGGGTAAATGGAATATCAGACTCTGAAGTTACTTTATCTGTGTTTGGTGTAATATAGTTTTTTTAATACACTGGTGTAATATAGTTTCTGCTATCTTGCTTTTATGCCATTTTATGATTGTGATGTGGCTGTGTTGAGGTATAATATGGTTCTATATGTATGATGATTACACAGAGATACGTACTGAAATTTTGATATACGCCAATACTGATGGACAATGCTGCTCATTACACGTGTATAATGAATTATCCTTTTGATTGAGGGAAATCATCGTAATGCAGCAATTTGATAATTTTCTGTGTGCAGGCTTTAAGAGCAAGCAGTATTTCTACGCCTCAACCAAATCCACAAACTCTGCCTGGTGCCAGCGTTGCAACTGGTCCTTCACTTCCTCAACACATGGCTGTGCATCCATACTCTCAACCAACTCTTCCTTTGGGGCATTTTGCTAATATGATTAGCTATCCGTTCTTGCCTCAAAGCTACACCTATATGCCATCAGCTTTTCAGCAGGCTTTTCCCGGAAATAGTACATACCACCAGTCACTGGCAGCCGCTCTTCCCCAATATAAAAACAGTGTTTCTGTTAGCAGCTTGCCTCAATCTGCTGCAGTTGCTTCTGGATATGGCTTTGGCAGTTCAAACAGCATTCCCGGAGGAAACTTTCCTCTGAATCCACCTGCTGCCCCTGCTGGCACAACCACTGGTTATGAAGATGTTATAAACTCTCAGTTTAAGGACAGCAATCATATGATCTCCCTACAGCAGGCAAGAGCTAACGTGACTCAATAGCTATTGATTGATATTAATTGTTTTCCATTTTTGATATAGCAATTTCTCGAGTTTGAATGTCTCTCTTTATTCCTTCATAAAGTATTTTGTAGTAAATAGCATCTTTACGTGAAGCTTATTAGTAGAGACAGTGACAAGCTAACACAGCTAATATGGCTATCAAGTGCCCAGTTATCACTGAGAACTTGTCATGATGGAGCACCAAAGTCAAAGGATGCCATGACAAGCGATGACTGGTACATGTCATGTTTTTCAGTGACTGCTGGGCTGACAGTGTTTTTAGAGGATTGAAATGAGAGTTTCAAGCCTTAAATTATTGAAAAGGCACATCACTTGACAACCAAAATTTTGGTTCGGGCAATTTAACTATCAGCAGAGAAAAAAAAAAAAAAGACTTGGAATTGTGGCGGTTGATCTTGCCTGGATATGAATCATAACGGGGTTTTCTTGTTTGTTATGCTAGAATGAGAATTCTCCTATGTGGGTTCACGGTCCTGCCTCCCGGACTATGTCTGCAGTTCCAGGCAGCACATATTACAGCTTCCAGGGACAAAATCAGCAAACGAGTGGATTCCGGCAAAGTCAGCAGCAGCAACAGCAGCCGCCATCACAGCATTTCGGACCTCCTGGGTACCCGAATTTCTATTCTCAGACAGGCATTTCTCTGGAGCACCACCACCACCAGCACCAACAGCAAAATGCAAGGGAAGCATCACTTGCTGGCGTTTCTCAAGTCCCTCAACCTTCCAAGCAATCTCAGCAACTATGGCATAACAGCTACTAATCACAGTTACCTCCTGGTTTTTCAGGGTCTTGACGTGAGTTTGAAAGTAGCCAATCCGAGGCAGTTCTACGAATTAAGGTGAAAAATGTATCATTATTTGGTCTCAACAGACCTTTGACTGGCTGCTGCCCTGTACCACGAGGTCCCCCCATAATTATGGTTGTGATGTTTAACGTAGTTACAACGTGTGCTAATTTGGTTTCCTCAGTACATTCTTTTTTTGTCCCCCCATCCTTTAGTTGTTCCCTCCCTTGTTTGGAAATCTCAGGTTTTGCCCCTTTTGTTTTTTGATGCGCGTGTGGAAAATAGTATACTTTGTATTCTCTTGAACAAAGACTTGTAATTTTGATCCGTCCACCTTAAAATATAACACATCTTGTTTAAATGTGGTGGATTGAATAAACAATCGAATGTATGCTAGGGTTTTTAAAAAAAATATAAGCTTTAACCGTTTTTGTCAACATTTCAGATATTCTAAAAGATGTGTGATGGCAGTTTTAACTTGTCCTGTACGCTATTGGTAACTGCATTTTTGACTTGTTAAATTCCTCGTTTCAAAAGAGGGTGTTGAATTTAACATTAAAAATTTTGTTGACAAAAATTGAGTTCAAAATAGTAAATAGTAAACAAAAAAATTAATTTGTCTATCAGTTAAATAATTAGTTGTAAGCTTCCTAATCCTAATCAACCCATTGGTTGACCGTTATAAAACCAAGAAGACCGATTAAAAAAGTAAAAAATCGTTGCTGAAATCATCTTAAATTCGTAGGACTAATTCAACCCATGAGGCGGGGAAAAAAAAATCGACATAAGCGTGGAGTCGGCACAGCTCACAACAACAGTGACATAAATTTTTTGACAGAATATAAAAAAGAATAATGACGACAAAAGGATCCGTTTCCAGGTGTCATATTTCTGGGACAATCGCACAAAAAAAAAAAGCTATGAAAATTACGAATCAGGACCCATTATAAGATTTATATAGGTTTTGAGTTTTGACAAGCAGAAGACAATAATTTTTTGAAAAAAATATTTGATTTGTAATTTTGCAATTTTAACATTTTTCTTATGATTTTTCCTGCATTTTTCCCTCGGTTCCTCATACCTGGGTTGGCCAGCGAGACGCCAATACTTGAAAGGAGTGGGAGAAACATTCCAAAAGCCTTACTTAAATCGGGGGATTTGGATCTTTCTCTCAATACCTTTTTTTTTTTTTTCACACGCAATTTCATCCGTCCATTTAATTATCTATTTTAGTTTGATAGTGTAAGATTAAACTAACATTAAGCTGAATATCTCTTCTGTTGTACTACTTTCAGTCTTTAATCTAATACCTTTTTTAACTTTTATTTTGATCCTAAATATGAAACCCCAATTCATTTTGTTTTTCATATTTATACTTTTTTTTTTCAAGGTAATCCTTCTAATAATTATAGTTTTAGCTAATATACTTGATTAGGAAGGATATTTTAAGAAAAACAACATTTATTTGTTACAAATAATTAAATTAATTTATTTTTTTAATATACTCAAATTAATCAACTAGCTCTTATACTTAGGACCGGAAGTAGTATAAAAAAACATTAAACTGATTTAATTATCATCATAAATAAGAATTATAATTTTGTTTTTTTAAAAATGTTTAAGCAACAATAATATATGGATGGCCAGAAAACTAATGATGAAAATTAATGAACTCCTTATTCTATTTATGTTCAAATGTTGTATGCCATTCAAATAGCAAAATAATTAGAACCAAAGCTGAACCAGGTCCATCCTGAAAGGCCCAAAAAAAGGGGCATTCACCATTTAAATATAAAACATACTCAAATCTGTATAAATACAAAAAATACATTAATAAAAGTTGGTTCAGTTAGTAAGGAGTCGGCTCATAACCCATAAGATTGTGAGTTAGAATCCCGTTACTGATGTGCGGATCTTGTTGGTGGACAATGTGTAAGTATCCCTATAAGTACTCTTTAAACCTGGAGCCTGAGACCCAACTCAAACTTTTTTTTACCAGGAGAAAATACTTTTGGGAGTTACTTTGACTTAGAGCTGATAATGCTCAATTTGACCAGGTTGAAAAACCATAAAAAAAAAAGAAGAAGAAATATGCATATGCATATCTGTGGGCATTAGGGGGAATGAACCGTGGTGGCCATGGAGCAGCTGCATGCATAGGCCAAATTTCTTGCAAGAGAAATTTTGACCAGTGAAACGCCAAGATTGGAATTGGAGTTGGTATGAATACAGATCATGCCTTTAGAAGAATTACTTCAACTCTAACTCCAATCTATTCCACTATCTACCAGATAGAACCGTGGTGGCCATGGAGTAAGTGGATACATAGTCCAAATTTCCTGTTGCCCTTTGGCTGGCCAAATAAGCAGCCAAACTTGTGACGGTCTGGGAACTTTCTGCTTCATCTTCTTCTCCTCCTTCCATTGAAAAGAAATTTCCCATAACCATTCTCGTATCAGGCGGCTGATCCACCATTACTCTACCTTCAAGCATCTCCACCACTTGTTTCATATTTGGCCTCACCCTTGGCCTCTCTTGGATGCACCACAATGCCACATACACCATCCTCTTCACTTCCCTCTCTTCCACTCCCCCACCTTCCATCAATCTCTCATCCACAATTTCCATTAACTTGTTCTCTCTCACTTTCTCGTTCACAATCCTGGGAAAGTATTCCCACTTCTTCTTCTCCTTGTCCCTCGGATCTTGGATCAAACACACGTTTCTTCTTCCTCCTACGATCTCTAATAGGACCATACCGTAACTGTATATGTCTGTTTTCTCTGAAACTCCATGTTCTAAGAGCCATTCTGGAGCTAAATACCCTCTTGTTCCTCTCACTGTGGTCATCACTTGGCTTTCATCTTTCCCCATTAGCTTTGACAGACCTAAGTCTGCGACGATTGCTTTGAAATTCTCGTCCAGCAGAATGTTTTCTGGTTTTATATCCAGGTGGAGGATTCTTGATCTGCAATCATGGTGAAGGTAAGAAAGAGCTTTGGCTACGTCAATGGCTATTCTGTATCTCAAGCTCCATGATAGAAACCCACGGCGCGATCTTCGATTTTCGGTTTTACTGGGAAATATCCAAGAATCTAAAGAGCCATTTGGGATGAACTCGTAAATTAAGTACCTAGGGGCTACGGCGGAGTTACAATACCCGATCAGGCGCACGAGGTTGACGTGCTGGACACTGGCTATGGCGGCGACTTCCGATTTGAACTCCTTCTTGCCTCGTTCTTCGCCGTTGATTCGCTTCACCGCGACCAACGTGCCGTCGTTTAAAATGCCTTTGAAGACCGAAGCAGAGGCGCCTTGGCCGAGTAGACACTGGAATCCACCGGTGGCATCTTCGAGCTCCTGGAATCGAAATTTGGTCGGAACGCCGGCGACTTTTCGTAAGAAGCTGTATTCTATTCGGAGCTCGCTACCTTCAGATTTTAATCGGGACTCGATCAATCTTCTTCTACGGTTGAATCGCCTTCGGATGAGAACGAAGGCGAAGATTGCGATGATCACGGCAACATCGGCCCCCAAGATGAGGAAGAAGGCTCTTGAACGGTTTAAGAAGACGCGAGCGATGACGACAAAAGTGATCAGAAAAATCACTGATATTACAGCGATTGTGTTCACTACTCTGTCCTCCATTAAAGCTTCATTATGCCCCCTGCCTCATGATTGAAGAAGAGGGAGGAGGAGGATGCAAAAGAAGAAACCGTCTTTAAGAAGCAGTTGGGCAAGTTGCTGTAGTTATTTCATCTGAGAAAGTTTGACTAAACCCAGTCCCAACCAGCCAAGTTGACTTTTTTTTCTTGAATATTTTAAGGCTTTGTAGCAACCATGAAACCGGATAAATTTAAAAAGCTTTTTTTTCCCCAAAAAATTGAAAAAAGGCACTCCCTTGCGTACGTTAATACTCCTCCGGTCTTAATTATAAGACCAAATTGACTTATTTGAGGAGATTAAGGAAGTAAGTTAAGTTGGTTATTTATAATAAATAAGTGTTGTCATTCCTAAAATATCCTTACTAATTAAGTATATTGGCTAAAACTATCATTATTAGAAAGATTATCTTGGAAAAAAATGCATAAATATAAGAGACAAAATGGATTGGGTCTTATAATTAGGACCAAATAAAAAGTCAAATTGGGTCTTATAATAAGGACCGGAGGAGTATAATATAACAACTACTTATTCCCATGCATTGAAAAATCACCCAAAAAAAAAGTGAATATTGTAAAATTACAAATAAGTGTTTTTTTTTTTTAAAATGTGCTGTCATTTGCAATCTAATTATTATTGTAAAAATGTTACAACAGGTCTCAATTTGTGATTTTGCAATTTTTACAGTTTTTTTAATCATTTTTTTATTTATTTAATTTTGACATAAGAACTATTTAATTAATTTAGGTAAATTAAAGAATTTAAATAAAGTAGTTACTTGTAAAAAAATGTGATATAATATCTCTAAAATATTATTACATAACATTAATTATATTTTAATTTATAAATTAAGTAAATTAGTTTAAAAAATAATAAATATAAAATACAAAATAAATTAAAATCTTATATTTATAATCATTTAATATTTAGTTAGCTCGTGTATTAAAGACAAGAAAAAGAGGGGCATATGACTTGTAAAATTCAATAATAAATTTATATCTTCAAAACAATTATTTAAAAAATTAATATTCTTTGCACAAAAAAAACTAATCTGCCCGCTCAATCTGAGGATTTTATTTTTTGACTTTTGAGCACCCTCAATCTATATTACAACGAAGAAATAATTAATGCTAATTTCTATTTTTAATATAAGAATTTATTTGACTTTTATTTTGATCTTAAATATAAAACCCAATCCACTTTATATCTCATATTTATTTATTTTTTTAAATATAGCCTTTGTAATAATGATAGTTCTAACCAATACACTTGATTAGTAAGGATATTTTAGGAAAGATAATATCTATTTATTACCAATAACTAATATAATTTATTTTCTTAATCTACTCAAATTAGTTAACAAGCTTTTATATTAAGAACTGGAGGTATTATCTCTTAGATTATACTTTAATAAGTATATTGAAATTTTATATTTAAAATTAAATTAAAAATTAAACTAACTATTATATTAAAGATCAAAGATAATATAAATAAATAAATAGATAAATAGATAATTGAATAATTTTTGTTACTTCATCCCGTGGGTAACTCATATGTTTTCCTTTAATTTTATGGTCTTCTTTTTTAATTGCAGCTAAAATAAATATATTTGTTTTGGGTTGAAAGGGAAAAGTCTTCCTTAACCCCATAATTACCACAGAAAAAAAAAACATATAGTACTATCTCTGGTTTTTAATAGAAGAACCAATTAATTAATTTGAATAGGTTAAGAAAACTAATTAAGTTAGTTATTTATAATATATAGGTGTTATTTTCTTAAAAATATAATGATTAATCAAGTGTATTAGTTATAATTGTTATTATTATAAAAAATATTTAAAAAAATAGATAAATACAAAAAACAAAACGAATTAAAATTTTATATTTAATATCAAAATAAAAATTAGAAAGTATTACGTATCTAAAGTGTCAAGTACTCATAGACTAGAATCAGGATGCTCATCAAAAGGTCTGGATAGGGCGTGTTTGCACCAACAAACGGTGTTGTCTTTTTGTTGTTTTTTTTCCACCACAAGTCTTTTGGCTGTTTCAGAGATGGGAACCAGTGAGACACGTAGCAATTTGTCAGGGAAATACGCGTGGCGATCATAGTTTTCCCGCTGTCGAGCCAATATTTGAAAAGACTTTTTTTCTGAATATTATTTTATCTTAAAAAGTTTTTTTTTAAAAAAAAATTACTCTCCCATATATTACTATAAGAGCTATTTGTATATCTACTTTTTAATATAAAAAATATTTAACTAATTTAAATATATTAAAGATCAGATAAGCAAATTAGTTTAGAAAAACTAATAAATATAAGACAAAATTGATTAAATTCTTACATTTGTGATAATTTAAAATTTGGCTAGTACTTATATTAAGGGTCAAAAGGAAAGCGAGTATCTGATGGATGAAATTTTATAATAAATTTATACCTTCATAAAAATTGTTTAAAAAATAATATTATTTTTGCAAACAAAAAACCTAATATGCCAGATAAATGTAAGGATGGTTTTTGTTAACTTTTGAGCACTCTAAATCTCTATTATAGTGAAATCTCTATTATAACGAAGAAATATGCTCTTTCAATTTTAAATATAAAATTTATTTTATAGTATAAGTTATACTACAAAATCGATTTTGCTTTTAGGACAAAAGGAGTAACTGATATCTCTTGAACCATACTTTAATATAAATAAATAAGTAATTACATAAATAATTGAATGATTTTTAACTCATACATTTTTATTTGATTTCAGATTCTTATTTTTTTAAAATTGCAGCTAAATTTAAAATATTTGCTTTGTGTGGAAAAGGGGAAAAGTCTTCATTAACTCCATGATTATAAAAAAAAAAAAAACCTTAAGTCGCTGCAACTCTTTCGTTTACGTGTAACTTATCTGCAACTGAAAGAAGTGTTGCACCAACTAAAAATAAGTTACACCCACTAAAATGTACTACCTCTTATCTTAATTATAAGAGTTAGTTGATTAATTTAAAAAGATCAAGAAAAGAAGTTCAGTTAGGTATTTATAATAAATATGTGTTGTTTTTCCTAAAATATTTTTGCTAATTAAATATATTGGCTATAACTACCATTGTTAGAAAGACTATCTTGAAAAAAATACATAAATATGAGAAACAAAGTGGATTGAGATCTTATATTTAGGATCAAAATAAAAGTTAAATAAGATCTTATATTAAGGACCGGAGATAGTATAAATTTTTAGGTGTCTTTGAGTAATAAATTTTGAAATGAGTGATTTCTTTTCCTTTTTCTACTTCTTCTTCCAAGTGCAGGGGTTTTTTCTACTAATTGGGGCCCTCCCTTCACCACCCCCATGGGGATGGTCTACAGGGTTCATAACTACTCCTCTTACTACAGAACGCTATTAATTTACTTCTGCTGGCTGATGCTATTATACCAATAAAACTTTCAGACATTTTATTGAAAATAGGGTTGAGTCACCAATGTAAATTGGTCTAGCAAAATGGACTACTTATGATGAACCAAACATCAAATTTCTATTTAAATATATAAAATAAATGTCTATAATTTAGTGCCCAATCATAGGTTAAAAAAGAAAAGGCGTGTACGTTATTATTCATCTAGTCAAGGCCAGTGGGCCCTCCGTTGATAAACACAGTTGGCACACAGCCGCAGAGCATCTAGCTATCCAAATTATTCTTACTGGTCTCCCACATACACGCTGACTTCATTTGTGCGTGTAAGTGATGCATGTATTTTTATTACTCCTCTTATTTTTAATATAAGGTTTATTTAATTAATTTAGTTAGATTAAAAAATTTAAATAAGTTAGTTAATTATAAAAAAATATAATATGTTTTTCCTAAAATACCATAATCATTTTTTTAATATCCTCTTTCCTTTATTTACTTGATTATACTTAAAGAAGTATCTATAAAGGTGATTTAGAAAAAAATAATAAATATAAGAAATATATCTTATATTTAGGATTAAAATTAACTTCATAATTAGATTCTATATTAAAAAGCGGAAAAGTATTTTTTTAATAATAAACAATGCAAAATCAAATTACTCATTAAAAAAGCGTCAACAAGAAACGCACAAAGGTAAGTAGCTGTGAAGCCCGATAACAAATCAGGTCAAAAAAAGAAGCCCAATAACAAAAAAAACAATACAAGTTCAAAAAAAAACGTAAAGCAAAAGGCACAAAGAGAGCCAGGAAAATAACCCAAAGTCCCTTGTGCGCCAACTAACACAATTTCATGCACGTCCGATACATTAATATTTTAAACTAGAAATGCTCCATAAAATGGAATTTTTTTTATTTTTGTCCCAAACGGGGCAATGAACTGCTTATTTTAAATATTGTAGAGCAGCTACCTAAGCACCATAAAATAAAATATAGATTAGATTTTGAACAATAATGGTTTTCATTATTCTTTGCATCCTAAATATAAACGATAATTGGTAAATTTATTTTGATTATAAATATAAGACTTGATTTATTTCATTTTTTGGACCTATAATTCTTTTCTGAACTAATTTGTTTAACTTATAAACTAATATATGATATAGTATTACATAAATAGGGGTGTTTCAAGGAGGTTATGTCATATTTATTAAAATTAAGTAATTTAGTAGCTTACTTAATATACTGAAATTAATTAAGCAACTCTTACATTAGAAGTTGTGGCATTTATCAAAACCCAATAATCAATTTTAAATTGAGTGAGGGAAAACCTTGGTTTTGACTCAATAATTTCTCTACAGAATTCCCAAACACACATTCATTGTCAGCGATCCAAATATTAGCACTACGGTAATCCATTCACAATGTCTTGGTCCTGGATACTAAGAGGATAGTGATATATAATAGCTTGCGAAGAGGAAAAAGTCAGAAACATTTGACTTCCTCTAAATTCTAATATCAAAGTTTTCTTCTTCTGCAAGTCTCTAGTTTCTAAAGGCATGTTTAGATCACAGTTACAAACGCCAAAAGCTCATTGAAAATAGTGAAACTAAAGTTGCAAACT